TATTCATCAGTGTTTCATCTTTCAAATACATCTGTTTAAAAGACCAAAGTATTTCTCATCCACATACAGATTTAACGTGGTTTCGTTCTTATATTTCCTGAAGTAGTTCACAAGTCATGTTTTAGGACCCAATATTTCTGTTGTTATTGGACCTTCATCAAATGGGAGAGTCACTTTTCTTTGAATTGATATAAGCAGTTTTCACACATAGAAAATAAACATAGAGAGGTATGAGGAATGAACAAGTTTCAGAACTAAACTCTTCTCTAAGCATTTAGGAACTTTTACTTTCATATTTATGCCAGTAAACATACGATACATAATACAGCATATATAAAACTGCTTTTGCCTATTCGTTTTGTTGCCATCAGACAGATTCACTATCGTTGAGATAATACAAATCTTTAGAAGTTTTGTAATATACAAGCAGCCTATGTACCAAAACGCCTAAATGACTTGTTCCAATTAACCAACAACTGAAAACTGCCAGCCATACTGCTAAACTATGCCAAATTTGCAAATGTCTGTATGTAGTAGCTCAGTAGTTCAGTGAGTCGATATGATATTCGATATGATAGACATCCACCTCAAACCACGGCAGAAATATCGATTAGTTTTGAGGTGTGTACATCCATCTGACTCATCAGCAGTAGGACGCGAGTGCATCTTATATCTTAATTCCAGCTTCTGCGGAGAAAATAATGGAAGGTTGCATCTTGATAACCTGTAAGGAAACCTTCTGAGCCAGTGAATATATTCAGCAAAAGTTTTACTTTTCAATTCATAAGGGGCGAAAATGCTGTTTAAGGAGATATCTAAGAACAAAATAACAATATCTTCACTTACGTAAAAGTCGTTACTTAACTGAAGGAGACATTTTTAAGCGTACTAAAAGAATAACGTTAGTACATATATTCTTTGAAAGTATTTTTAAAATTATAAATTCGCCAAATTCACACTGCTAAAAGTTAAGTGGAAGCATGTCATTTAATATCACCAAATCAGAAGTCAACGTGAGAGAATTAAAATCTCATGTAGGATCAAACGTGAATTGAATATTATTCACTTTGGATTTCAAAAAAGAAAAGAAAAAATCCTTATATATAAAGTTGTGTAACACATCTCATGTTTTCTTTTTATTTTATGATTATAAGTCATAGGTGATGATACTGAAAACTGTCACCGGCATCAACAGTTTTGCATAGCCATGACTGTGACGATGTATTGTAAACAAACCTAATATGTAATATTTTCCCTGGGCTTTCTTGTATATATATATATATATATATATATATATATATATATATATATATATACCATCATATAATAATTTCTTAGCCAGTTCCATATCACTCATATAAATTCCAAACTTACTTTTTGTGAAAGGAGAATATTTGACAGTATATCCGAAAGATGTCAATGATATTATGGACTACAATTTCTAAAATGCGTTTTGATTACTCAGTTCGACACCGCCTAGGTGACGTTTGCCCCAGGCTATCTATTTACCTGTCACTTCGAGGCAAGCTTTAACCGAAAGGGAATCTCCAAAGTAATGGGCTGAAATTTGAAGTTATCATTGTCTGTAACATTCTCATACTTCAGATGTCTGTTTGTTACAATTTTCGGTTAATATTCAATATTTCTGGAATCGAAGTGCCTAAGCATTCCTGAACAGCCAGTTAAAGTAGGAGTGCCAGCAATTCATTTTTTTAGTCCGTATGAAAAACTCCTAATTCATAAAACGACCGCGCTTCCGATCATTTGAACCTCTAAAGGGATTTCCTCAAATAGAAATCTGATGAATAGTAGTCTGTGATAAAGTTTAAAACGAGAACTAGTCTATCCAACTGTTGCTGTAATTCGCCAAAGTTTTAAGTGCACGATTAAATTTCTGGACAGAGATGATACAGTTGGTAGACGTTTTTCAAAGCATATCAATCAATTCTATTTTCTGAACTTTTACTCAAGCAACATCGCATAGTGTAAGCAGTTTGACTTGTCACGTGGTGGCTAACTGATATGCATAATTTGGCCATGAATGGATTTCATCCTAGCCCGAACAGCCTAACGGTGAAAAATCTTGGGAGCGTTCTCTACAACTACAACTCTGTGTTTGAAGTCAATAAAATTTATTCATGATTCTGCATATCCTTATAAATGAATACAATAACCTAAAAACGTTTTTCAACAAAAAAATTAGCACCTTTTAAGGTATAAAGTACTTTATTTCTGAAATTGTTTGACAGCTGAGAAATAGATGAGTTTTTGGAGGATAATTTTGCTTGTTAACAAGGTGTGGAACTACACCTGTGATTCAAGTTTCTGATTTATTGATCGTCGTCAGTGTTTTTATCGTAGCATTGCCAATAAGTTAATCCGTGTGCTTCTTGATGGCAGGGAGACATTAGTCACTTTCTGAAAGTCTTTCATTCCCTTAAGCATTGAAAGTAAAATAATTAATTTATATATTTGAACGGCATGAAAGTAGAGAGTGTACGAGGATGATAGGAGCCGATTTCTGGCGTTTCTAGACTTGTTATGAACCGCTAACGGCTGATTTTATAATAATATGCCCTCGTTTTGCTTTTCTTCCGCTGTTTATGTTATGGATGGAACTAATCGAATGAAGTAGTTATTTTTTCCTGGAAGAATGGCTGTTTAGAGTTGCTATTTGCTGATCAATTAATATCAATCAGTTTACTTTGTAAGATTATACACTACTTTCAGAAATGTATCTGTTTCATAGACATTAGAAAAATAAAATGACTGCAGTGTCCGTTTATTTGATATCCAAGTGTTTTGGAAAGCATTATTACATGACTTGAAATAAATATCAAGAGTAATGTTATTAGTAAGATCTCTATTACTAAAGATCGGCATCTGCGAAAAACTAACTATACATTTTTGAAACTGTACTTCATTTCATCTTATTATGCCTGAAGCATTCTGAAACTGACAGATATTACCAGTTTAACACATATTATCCTCTATAACTCAGAAGTGACAAGTTTTCGAAATAGTGGTGGCCTAGTTTACGTGTCACTCATAATACTATTCAGTCCAAATTCAAGGGTGTGTGGTTGAAATTTTAGCTTTTTAAAACAGATGTGAACAGCCTGCCACTTGATGAAGTGCCCAAAATGTCGACAAGTACGTTTATTTGAATTGCAGTAATTGCATCAAATGGCTTTATGTTGGGAATTCTGTAAGATCACAGTTGAAGACTTATTACACCAGTAACATCACAAAGTTGAATTTAACATTTTTCCATACTTGTAACAGAATCTGACTGAAATTAACTTTTTATCTGAAATATGAGATACTACGTGGGTGACTGAATTAAAAGTCCGTAAAAGAGGTTTCCCATCAAACAGGAGTTACTTGCACTGCTTTCATTTTAACAAAATGCAGATATCAAACCAAAGGTAGAAATTTGTTTTTTATACAAAGTGTGAGAAGCTGTCATTCTACATTTGTGTCAAAACACAAGTTGCAAAAGTTTATCATACCTAATGTAATAACATAATTTACTGTGCAAAATAATAAGACGTTTAAAATTTTAATTTAGATTCATTTCCGAAACCTTAAGAGATTATTTGTATAGGCTTAGGTTTACCATACAAAGTTAGTCAGCACATTACTTCACATAATTCAATATTTTTTCGACCTATTGCAAAGGTATAAGGACCATAGAAGATTATTTATCACGTCCTGTAACGATATAGTAAGTAGATTTCACATAAAACGTCTCTATGTTTGACTGACGGCAGAAACCCATGAGGTATTACCGTGAGGTCTAATGTGTTTAGGCCTCAAATACCTCTTTCAGAAAGAACTCGACATCATCTAAGGAATCGCAGTCTTTTGCCTAAAAGACCATATCTTTGAATAATTATGATGTGAACAGACTATTTCTTTGCAAAATAGGTTATAGTGAATACTATGGTTATATAACAGACACCGGGGAAATATGGATGCTTAGTATTAACTATTTATTTTATACGAACAACTCAACTTCACTTTGATTTTGTTTCCATATTGCCCTTGATTATGCTTCATCTTGCAAATTATTTTCACATATAATGCATCTCTATATTCTATCCCGTTAAATACATTGCTCTATATTCTCTTTTGTGAGTAATTTTCTCCTTAGAGCACACATGTGAACTAAGAGTAAGACTTGGCACTGTGGTAGAATACGATCCATGTTATTTTCATTATTTGACATAGCACACAGTGATACAGTAATATTTACTGAATGATGTTCGGAACAGAATTTTAATTGCCCATATTCATCTCAAAAATATCTACAATCCAATGTAGAATTGCACTTGTCAATTTTAAATCTTCATTCAGCTTCATCTTCTTCACTAGATTTATGCAAACAGTGCTTGTAAATATCCAACTTAGTGGAAAAAATTGTGATTGCACAGTTGTAGAGAATGCAAATACCAAAAATTATCTTTGCAAAACTTATCATTTCTTTTAAAATCCTGTATTAGAAGAAGTTATGTTTAGGCAAGTATTTCTCATAGAAAGACGATAAACCAGGTGAAATAGCATGCAACTATTTGGCTGCTGATTTAAATTATCTGTATTTATTAGCCTCAAGATTGGTGTTTTCCGCCTAAACTTGAGAAATGTCGTCTTATTTATGAAATATATTCCTGTTCAAATTTTAGCTTTTAAGCTTTAAATTTAAATAACAACGTGAAATTTAGCATTTTCTTAACAGCGACATATATAATATACTATATGATATAGGAGTATGAATGAATGCTTTCAGTATTCCTAGAAATTTCAATAAAAGTTAAATAAATACTTGGAAATGAAGTCAAGGTGACTGAAAGCAGTTTGGCTTACCATTACTACGGCAGACATATAAAAACATTCCATCATTCTACAGAAATTCAAGTAAATTTAACCATTAACTGCTACCTAGTATATTAAATAAGCAAATGATTTGGAATGAAAAACAAAAATCGAAATGAACTCACTTTTTTCTCATGCGACTGAATTGCATTCTTTATAGTGTTCACCGGGTTTCCTCGATCATGTGATTTTGTATTAAGTGTACCACCAAGCAAACAATGCAGTTCATCTGATGTACGGCAGAGATCGACACAACTTATTGCAAAGTCCATGCACTTTACGGCCAACTCTGAATATTCCTCCTGTGAATAAATAATGATCAATAGAGATAACGTTGGTTATGCTTAATGCAACTGAAATTCATATACATCCTTTGTAAGTATTATTCAAAACACTGAAAATTGTCCCATATAAGAGTGTTTATTTGATTGATATACCACATAGTGATACAATAACTTACTGGATGACGTTTTTGACAGAGTTCACTGCTCATATTCATACCAAAATAATCATATGAATTCCTTTACGTAATCCATCAGTTCCTTGTTCTTTTATCTTAAAGGTATTAAAAATTCTCCATATATCTGCCATATGTGGTGAGTCATTCCTACTGCATGTTTTGTATTGATTTAGTAGACTAAGGTTCTGTGATCAATCTCTCCCTCCACCAAGCTGTAATGGATTTTAGCGTCATCATCAAATCCCACCCTACAGTGTGATTGTAATAGTGTATGTAGTGATGTCTGAGTTCTTCTCTAAGTAACTTATCATAGTAGAATCTAACGCTGTATGTTTCACTAGGTATTTTTGCTGTGGTATTCTGGCTGACTATAATCAGCTGCTTTTACCTATATATTTGACATAACAATGATTTCATAATATTTCACAGATTACGTCACTTTTCCTAACTGGCTATGCTGGATCGTGAAGCCTACAAAATTTCTCTTTGAGCTAGTTTTTGGGTTTAAATATCACCCTAATCCCAGCTACACTACGGAGGATCTGAATTCCGCTTAGGCATATTGCAATCACCACTAACTACTACCTCTCTTAACAGTCCTTATAAAAGTCTTAATGAATTCCGGAGGGTAGTTATTAGAAATGAGTGTCTCTTCGATGTGTTTCATTTCTTGATATAGGTGTCCTGGCTAAGCAATCAAACTCCTAGCATGGTCACTTAAACAATTTGTCAAGCTTACCTTGACGGAAGTTATTAACTACCCTCCAGAATTTTAATACAAAGTTTACAAGGACTGGAAAAAGAGTGTTAATGTTACTTAGACTACATAAAGCAAGTTTGAAAGTCAAGTGATTACTTTAATATGAATATGAGCAATAAAGTCTGCTCGAAATGTCCTCCAGCAAATTAAAATATGCCACTGCATTCTTTTTCAATCAAATAAAAATTTTGTATGGAATTATACTCTACCAGTATCAAAAGTTTTCCATTACATTAAGGAAGATAACAACAATAATAAAACAATGCATGATGGCGGAATGACAATGAGTCTTTAAAGGGTTAGAATTAGCGAATGCTTTGAATTTGCCTCTAGTATCTCTTGTCTTCATTTATGCACTAAAGATGGCCCTTGTCAACATAAGCGAAACAGAACTTATAACATAGAAAGTTTGGTCAATTTCACTTTGATGTTCACTGTCTACCGCATGAGGAAAAATAACGTCAATAATAAATTCACATGACGCTTTTTGATTCCAGGCTGATTACGTATTTACAAATAAGATATAATAAAGTATTATGAACACTATCATCTTAATCAGCCACATAAGAGCAGTTTAACTTCTAGACATGCATTACCGCTATAATAATTGACAATTAGTGCAATCGGTCATAAATTCCTAAATTTTTATCGCTGCTACAGTGAATTATTCTCAATGAATCTACTTAGCTTATAATCTTATCACTTTCAGTAGTGATTCGTCCTTATCCCCATATTTTTTTTCGTTTCCTTAGCCAGTGTACACATGTAGTTCATTACCGAATAATCATAATTTTAATGTAACTGAAGCATTCCATTTCACTTTTCTACTTCTGAATTCATGCGATATCTTATTAAAGTACGATATGAAACCGGATTGCATTTGGTAGAAGATAGATAAACAGCAGCTGAACAAATGAAAGAATCCTCCTTAGTTTCTTTTCAAAAACATTCCTCTTCCAGGACCGGTTGGTTATTCTTCGAAAGATGACTGAAACTGAATTTTGTTTCCACGTTCTTCGTCACAAGAGTAAATATTTTTAACAAACTTTAAAAGCATTGCTAGTTCAATTTTAGTCTGTTTATTAAAAAAATCTCACACAGTGAAAGAGTATCTGTCATTTACCAAAGAACTTTTCATATATGAATTATTGTCCATTTCCATATCATGGCATGATAAGATACTTCTAATAAAGAGACTAAAATGGAGTCCTCATCTATAAAGGTGCTCAAGTTTTCCTCCCATATTATCGTTTGCCTATTCACTTCTCCACTGCGTTCAAGCACAAGGATACCCACAAAGCGATATCGATTTTATTTCGCCTGACACGAGGACACACTAAAATTAGATCGACTGCATCTCAATGTGAAAAAGTGGAGACAGCCTTCTGGACACAAGATCACATCAAGAAGAGAGAGGAGCAGATATAAGTTCACACCACTCAACATCTAGTGCAAGAACCAACCCTTAAAATCAAGTCTTCAAAGAAGAAGCTGGTGATAGACGACCACAGTTCAACTTCAACACTCAGAAACTGAAGAACGAAACCAAAAAGGAAATCTTCACGTCAACCATCAAGACAAAATGGGAGATATCGAGCAACATCCCTGAAGAAACCTGTGTAGATGAGCACTGGAACTCTTTGAAAGAGATGTGGAAATAAACCTGCACAACCTTATTAGGAAGGAAGGAGAAACAAGACAAGGAATGGATCTCGAAGGAAACATGGAAGCTGACAGAGAAGGGAGAGGAAGATGGTGATGGTGAAGCAGAAAATAAACCAGTGCAAAGATGAACAACGAGAAGAGGAACTGAATACAACCTATAAAACACTGGACAAAGAAGTTAGGAAGAGTGCGCACAAAGACAAAAGACACTTCCACGACACTGGCAAGTGAAGCAGAACAGGCTGCTGGTAGGAGAGGCAGAGACCTGACAATATTGTACCAAATAATCAGGTCACTATCTGGAAGGGGAGAGATCAACACAGATGAAACCCATAAAAGATGATGAAGGAAACCTAATTACCAAAGAAGACAAACAAAGGTAACGATGAGCCAACCACTTCAAAAAACTCTTGAATCGACGACCACCTGCACTTCGTCCAGAAATACCAATTGCAGCCGCAGAATTGCAACTGAATGCGAATCCTCCAACAAAAGTTTAAGTCCTGAACGCCATAAAGTTACCGAAATGTGGGAAATCAGCGGGACCAGATGGAATCCCATCAGAAGCACTGGGAGCAGACGCAGGGACAACAGAGGGCATCCTCACACCACAATTGCAGAAGGTTTGGAAGGAAGGAAAGGTACTTGCCAATTGATGAGAAGAAGGGCTACCTTGTCAAACTACCGAAGAAGGAAGACCTAAGTGTTTGCAAGAAATGGCGTGGAATCATGCTCCTGTTCCAGTCCACCCCACGCAAAATATTAAGCCGCATCATCTTGGAGAGTCTGAAGGATCAGCAAGATTGAAAACTGCGACCTGATCAGGCTTGCTGGATTCAGGAGGTATAAACCATATGCGGACCAAATTAAAACGCTTCGTATCATCATAGAACAGATTATAGAATGGCAGTCAACTCAACTTCATCGACTTTGAAAATGCCTTCGACAGCATCGACCGACAAGTAATTTGACAGGAAGCTGCTTCAACACTAAGGAATACCACAAACATTTATCAACCTCATTCAACATGCCACATGCCAAGTGATTCACTATGGTAAGCTCAGTGATTCCTTTGAAGTGAAGACAGGGCGGAGTAAAACAAGGCTGTCTACTATCACACATGATATTGCTGATTGTGGTCGGCTCGACTGGATCGTGTAACAAACAGTGAAAAGCTGTGAGAAGAGAGGGATACGCTGAACCGCGAAAAAGAACCTAGAAGATTTGGACTTTGCCGATGACTTATGTCTGATGTCACACAAACTTGAAGATCTACAGGCAAAAACTAACAAGTTGACAGAAGAGGCAGAGAAGAGAAGATGGGACTTCAAGTGAACGTAGAGAAGACGACAGAGGTGATGAAGATACCCAACCAACAGCAACAACAAGCTTCAATCACCATCAACGTCAGAAACTTAAAGGAAGAAGTCTCCTTCACCTACCTACCTAGGCAACACTGTTTCAACTAAACGCGTTGGCACAGACGAGGACGTCAAAGCCAGCCACGATTCGAAAGACAGCAAGACAGGCATTAATTAACCTGAAACCAGTGTGGAGATATTCTGCACTCCACTCAGCATAAAGCGTGAACAAGATGCGGATTTTCAACATCAACGTAAAGTCAGTGCTCCTGTATGGCTCAGAGACTTGGCACGTCACGAAATGCATTTCCAACAAACTACAGATATTCATCAACAACTGTCTACACTGGCTCGTTACTGAAGATGAGATCAGATGGCTAGAAAGAATAAGCGACAAGGAACTGTGGCTGTCAACGAACCAACCAAGAAGCTATCGCTCAGCAAATATGCAGAAGGAAGTGGAGATGGATTGGGCATACTCTGAGAAGGCCAACTGGGGACATCAGGCTTAAGGTCAGGCCCTTGAGTGGAACCGAGATGGGAAGCGACGAGTTGGGCGTCAGAGGCGAGGATGATATGGAGGTGATGTTGTGAGGAGGAAATGAAGGCTTGTTGGCTGTCGTGGAGCCAGGTTCAAAAGTTTGCAGAGAACAGAGTGCACTTGAGACATGCTGCTGAAGCCTTATGTTCCACTAGGAACCCGATGGACAAATAATAATAATAAAGCATAACCAAGGAAGGAGGATTGTATACCACATGAACCAAACAGAAAGGAATTTCCTTATCAGATGACAACAGCGATTTAATTTATTTTCCCCTATCACACAAGTGGTCAAATAAACTGGCTTCCTAACGAGTAATTTCAACTTGATCATTAACTCAATAATCTTTCAACCATGATGTTGGTTGAATACGAAAAAGTAAACTTGAAGTACTTGTCCACACAGAATTCGATTAATCAGCTGGTGTGGGCAGTATAGGCAGCGCTAGTTGGTAAGAAAACTACTTTACTGTGAATGCTGATTTACATACCCAAGGCTTACCACACTAGACGAAAAAATATCCAATGAATTGTCATAAAACATAAAGATGTAATAAACAATCTGGGAATCCATTCATTTTTATTTTGTTTGTTCAACCAGCCAAACATTTCAATTATATTTCAGGTTTTACTCAGAGTGGACACAAGTCTCTGCTGAAAAGTGGATACTAAAAAGTGTACACCTAATGTTGACCACATTCTTTGGCATATCTTTAGGCAACTGAAGGTAAATGAATGACCTATCCCGAGTCACTATTATTATACTTTACCATTACTTTAAATTCTGCTAGTAACATGAGAGCAATATAATAATTTACTGAGGACAAAAATAAACAATGGCACTTACTTTGAATTGTTTCTCTTGCGACGCTAGTTGATAAAGCTCATTTCTCAAAGTAAACGCAGTGGCTACTGGATCAGAAGTTGTCAGGGCTAAATAAGCCGAACTGGATAAGGCTTGATAAGTGTGAAGACGCTGTTGTTCGAGTATAAGGGAATCCTGTAAAGTGATGAGCAGTAAAAAAAATGATTCAGTCCCATTTTATAACGAAAACTCTAAACACTGTTTGAATTATTGTCAGTGAGGAGTTCATGATAGTTTTCAAACGGAAATCCAATATAAGTTAATATTTTTTGAGTCATAAAATATATGCCACTTTATCATTATTTTAATTGACCTTGACACCTGCTAAAATCTATTTTACATCGTCTGCTCTTGGTTGAGATTGTCGGTTGAACTCTCAATTGCGTACTAACCAAAAATAAAACTTACCTGAACATGAAAACTGGTATACCGTTGAAAGTTCTGTCAAAAACAGCTACATTTCACAAAAAACATCGTTTTAAACTCTTGTTTCCTGAGCCTTGAAAAATATTTACAATTATTTTAGTAGCTACTCTGTATATCTTGTCATACACTCAAAACTTTGACAGAAGTCCATTGCTTCCAGTCCAACCAGTAATCTATTTCCCATTCTGTGATCGCGTTTGGTATGTATGCTAAGCAGAAACAAATGTATAAATGATAAAATGTAATAACTGTATCTCCTACAAACTTCCGTGTAGTTGTGTAAATCATGTCCTTATGGATGCGACAGCTCACATTTGTATAACCATCTAAACATCGGTCCTTTTTCGACAAATAAAATATATAAGGTTTTCATTAAAAATAAATTACATCAAATCAATATCTGATAGTTTCTTTCTGATTTTATTTTCATAATATGTAAATGATATTTCTATCTAATTTTTATGTATCCATCTTCATTGTAAAATCAGATATTTCTGTTGGCTATTGAAAAATGTGACTGTAATTGTGCTTAGAATGTATCATCGTTTTAACATATCATTTTGTCATGATATTTTAAAAACTGGTAATAAGCTATTTATATGGTTTTTACCTAAATATCGCATTCCTCGACAGACTGAAGTCAAAAAGAAGCATTTCTCAGTAGCCAACAGTTCATTTTTTTGGTTCAGAGAAGACTTCAAAACTGTTGTTTATGCTAACAAATAACTGTGGTGAATTAACTCTTTGTTCTCCTTTGAAGGAGGCAAACACCAAAAGCAAGTGGTTTTGAGTATTCATCACTATTTTATTCAACGAATACCTCAGTTTGAATGAAGTCACTGGTTTCTGTCCTCGGTTATACTAGATGTTGGTGGATTCAGCACTTTAACAGTTGGTTAGTACTAGAAATGTATGAATTGCTCAGACAAATTGAATTATGAAGTGGTTGTATAACATATGTAACTCATGTGTGCTATATGGAAATCTAGTCTCTAATTTAATCTGACAGCAGTATTTAGTAGTGATAGTAATATTCCCACCAGGCAAGAAAGCTGATACGAGCTAGTCTTAACAGGTATTGATTGTATCCGTATAATGCCTATTTTGTTTCATACATCATTAGTAGAGTTAATGATGTCTAAAAACTAATAAATAATTTATAATTGATATTTATTGTTTTTATTATCATTATCATTACTACTTGTACTTACTCTAACTACTTCATATTTAGGAGAGTAGAAACCAGTATATTCAGTTTGTCTGACATTGAAGCTAATTAAAACAACAGGTAAGAGTAGCAATAATGACGGTGTTTTTTTATAGCAAGTTATAAAATTGTTTTTCTATGAATTTAGAAGTAGTTTTCATCATGGACTGACATCAGTTGGGGAACCATTGAAAACCCGGGAGCACTGGACACAGCATACTGCTGAGGAGCCTCATACTGAGGCGAAACAGCTGTCCAGTGCTTTCGGGTTTTCAATGGTTCCCCAACTGATGTTAGTCCATGATGAATGCTACTTCTGAACTAAAAAAATCCCCACTCATCTCAAAAATACATTTCTAAGAATTGTTTAGTGGGATTTTTTAGAGAGTTAAGTGGGAAGTTGTGCGATATTTCAAACAATTTGAGATTCCCACTTCTCCTCACTCGTTTGGGTTTGCTGTGCAATTGGTTATCTATCACTTAAGTGAAGCAAAAAGCTTTCCAGTACTATGGCCTCATAGTGCAGCCGTAAATGAACCGGAGCGATTTCATTTCTGCCATTACGAAGGTTTCCATTTCATCGTCAGTCACTACCTTTTTAGAAACACTGGCCCTCCAAACAATGACTGTCCCAGATAGTCACATCAACAGTTTGGGTTTCAGTAAATATCACTTAAATGTAATGTTCTGTTTCAGTCCCTAGATTTTATTGTTTAGTGTCTTTAAAGACTGATTTGTTCCAGGCAGCAAAAACCATATATATATATATATATATATATATATATATATATATATATATATATACCTACTTTATATTTGCTTATCTACTAACTGAATCGTGAGGTATGAAGCTTTATCAGAAAGAGGCACTCTGTGATATAACTGATAGGCACCTACTGACAATGGATATGAATGTACTGACAACTAAAAGCTTATGATCAAAAACTCATTCAAGTGTAATAATGTACAACGTAGAAATGCATTTTTTCATGGTAATAAAATATTTTTCTTTAACTGATAACTATTAAATTCAACTGCAGAATAGAAATCTTACACAACAGACGAAACTGTGATCTGTTAAGTAATTTATCATGTATTTTATCACGGCAATCTAATTGTATGGTTTTCTCGGTGAACACATGAATTACGGCAAAGGCAAATACTAATTCATCATTTGTAGGTGGGTAGATATGATAAACATCTAACAATGACAGTTAGTCTGACACAGAAATAATGTGTAATTACCATTTTTCCAGGCTATGAGATTTAATAGAAGTTACTTCTAAATTACTGATTGTATATTAAATGATATTTATCAACGTTGGAAGGTTTATAAGTTATTTTGCTTCACTGTTACAAGTTACGAATTAGTACATATCATGAAATTAATTATAGAACTCATCAGAGAATTTCATTAACTTATTAGGGTATGCACAAATGTTTTTTTCATAGAATCCATATTCTAACTAAATGTTATTTTAATATCTACTATATGTATTCATCAAACCTAATGGCTATTATTTTAGAAGGGACACTCAGTCACTCCTGTACATACAACTATATATTTTTTGTGTGCATTCAAAAATCATAATGATGCAGCATTTTTCTTCCAGTAAGAATAAGAAGGGTAAATAAATAAAAGCCAAACTCAGCTAATTACTTTGGTGGATATATAAAGATGAACAGACCTCTAGCTGACAAGCTGACAAAATGCAGATTTTGTAGTCAACATAGATTATTTTGATAACCAACCTTACAGGTTAGTGTTAGCCAGTTGTTAGTAAAGTCACTTACTCAACAGAACACGTTCCAAGGTTTAGCCTCTACGTAAGCCTAAAGTTATCACAGACTTACCGAATATTTCGGCATTAACGATCGAAAGCCTATAATCTTCAATTAATTGGCATAAGTATTGTAAGCCTATATTTTATGCAATCGAGTTTTAATAAATAGGAAGATTGCAGGTTACAGAGGCGAGGCGAGGCCTCGTAAAACTCTTAACATAGATAATTTGATAACAATTTTGTTATTCCCAATTATTCTCTTTTCTACAGTTTATTTCAAACTAGGAAAACATTTTTTCCTAATATTACCACCAATTCAGAATAAAAAAAGACGTGTTGTGCAGTCATGCGATAACACATGTAGGTGGAAGTTATTCTGAAAACAGACGAATTAACGTTAATGCTTTTAAATACACAGAATACCTTTCGACAACTGTACATGTTGAGCAATACTTGAGAAGACCTATTCGAAATTTCCGAAGAACAAAAGAGATTCGTTATGTGGTTGCCTTAAAAGGTACAGATTTCTATGAAACTACTACAGTCAGCCACCTGTTAATATATCTCGTTTCCATAAGGTTTTTCTATCTGCCCCTAAGCAGTTACACTTCATAATGATAATCACGGCCTTAAAGTTGAATCCAGAGAAACACTTCTGAATCAAATACATGAGTTGAAAACCAAGCAAATACTCACCATAAACCTAGAGTATGCTGTGCTTACAAAGAAAACGTAACTCATAACAAATTAACAGCTATTTAACGGAGCAGAGAGACTAGCTTTAGTGCTGATAAATAAGTGAAAAGCAAGATTGTCTGTCTATTTTGTAAGTGAAGTTCTTTAATGAAATGTCTGAAGTTCATATATGTTGTATGATACTGCAAAGACACACTGTAGTGCAACTGCAGATTTAATAATTTGACTGGTTTTAAACGATTCGGCACAATTCATCCAACGTGAAAGAGAGTACATCTACTTAGCTCGAGTTCCTTCTTACGTATTATGAAATAATGGGAAATGCACTACAGATCTGTGAGAAGAAACGAAGTGTTGTTTTGCAACCATGTAAGTTTTAACAAGACAAAAAAATATCAGGAGAGCAATACTAGAAATCGATCTCCCCTTATTTTCAGTGTTTAAGTAGCATATAGTCTTTTGACACCTGGAAGTGTGCATAAAAAGATGAACAAATGACTTCTTGTGTTCAACATTTGAGTTTTACTTTTCTAGTGAAACTGTTACATCTGATGCTATACTGCAAAAAATTGAATATTGGATAAAAAAAACGTAGACTGAGTGAATTAGTACAAACTGAATAGAAATGCCATGAAAAAAGGGCGTATGTACTATCTACTAAATACCGGTGGCCTGCTTAAACTTCTGACTACCGAAAGATTTCCAAACGATTTATGCCATCAGCTTCGTTCCTTTTCATCTGTTTTAGTCTGATAAATCAGTACTCTTGAGAACTTTTAAAATGGTTTAAAACTGCCATTTTAAAAGCTGGGAGCAAAACAAACAATAAGCAATACTACGGTAAAAAAAATGGGACCGTAAATGCAGAGAAATACAGTATATTACCATTCCTTGGATAACTGTGTCGAATTTCAGATTTTTTATTGGCTGAATAAACTACCACCACCAAAATTATGCTCAATGATCTATTTGTTCACCAGTCCAAACCAGACGCTAATTAAACACCAGGTGCCTGTTTCATA